CTAAATAGGTATGTAAGTCAAGGAAAAAAAGTCAGAATTTCCTCTCCTTAGCATAATTATCCCCATTAGTTCTTTTACTTGTACACGTGCGCATTGTGTGTGGGCACCACACTAAATCTGCACTGTCAAATCTGCACTACTGCAGGAGAGGTGGATATGAAAAAGTATTCTCCCATTTAAGCCTTCCAGAAGTAACAGGTTTTACACTAATGAAAAATTTAGCACCCTCAACATGGAAGTCTAGATAGGCATAATGGTTTTTCTCCATCTTACATACTCTGAGTTTGTCATTATTGTAGTTTATAGTGTATTCACATGTACACACAATATGGAAAGTGTTTGTGTATTCATTTGTGCAGAAGATACCTGCACCTCTAAGACTTGCGTAAACTGCAGTCAGCTGCATCCTGTGTCACTGGAACATTGTTTCTGGGATCAGTGATAAACTTTGCTGGAACCAGTGTTTTAAGACTTACTTAGGATCTTGGGATAGTAAAGGTTCTGCATATGCAGGCAGATCAGAAGCGACTCATTAATAAGATCCTATCTCTGCTGTCTACCCAGAAGCAGCAGCTTTTTAACACTGGGATGGTAAGGTTGCTTTTTAGTAATTATCTTAATCAGGTTTTACTCTCTTGTTTACAAGTCTTGTCAAAAGAGTGATTTTGAAAAAGAAAATATAATGCGATTTAGAGAGTCTGTGTCTACTGTAGGCTAATATTTGGTATGCATGCTACACGTATATACTTGCAGCCAATCTGTGCTAACTTAAACAATATTTCAAATATGATTGAAATCATTGACAAACAAAAATAACCCTTATGGTTGTTTGAATTAGTATTTTTTAAAAGGTAAAATTTTGAGGATCAAAAGTCCGTCTGGAACGTATCCTGGCTCCAACGGAGGGAAAAATTACAAGTCTAGCCAAGAATAAGAATAGGGCAAATACATAGGCTCTTTTTCTGAGATACTGCTCTCCCAACTTCCAGTCATTTTCAGGTGTATGTATTTGTGTACTGAGTAACTGCCAATGGTTTTCTTCCTCCATTTTGTCCCGTTTCTCCTTAAACTTGGATGAGCTTTTACATTCTGCAGTATCATTTGCCAAAGAGTTCAACAGTGTAAAAAACCAACTATTTCCTTTTATTATTTCCTTTTATTTACTCTGAATCTGATCCTACTAGATTCATTTGATGCTTCGTAATTCTTTTTTTATGACAGAACGTGTTTAATCAATCCCCGTATACTCTAATGATGTTGCTATCTGCTCTATACCCTCCAAGCTGCCTCTTTTATAGATTGAGGAGTCCTAGTTTTGCTGAGTCATTTCTTGTACAGGCACCATATTATACTCTGTGGTGTATTTTTACTTTTAAATATACGCTGTCTGTGTTTACCTTTATATTGTTTTAGTAATATTTTGCTTTAACGCTTGTTGTTCTAATTTAAAATTAATTTTAAATAGATGTAGTCTTAAGGTACATTTAAATTGATTTATTTTTTAAAAATCTTACAGCTTATGAGCAGTGATGCTTAAATAAAACTATCTTAATTAGGGTTTTGAAATACACATTAATTTATTAGAATAGAATAGAATAGGCTATTTCAGTTGGAAGGGACCTAAAACAATCATCTAGTCCAACTGCCTGACCAATTCAGGGCTGACCAAGTTAAAGCATGTTGTTAAGGGCATTGTCCAAATGCCTCTTAAACACTGACAGGCTTGGGGCACCGACCACCTCTCTAAGAAACCAGTTCCAGTATTTGCCCACCCTCTCGGTAAAGAAATGCTTCCTAATGTCCAGTCTAAACCTCCCCTGGAGCAGCTTTGAACCATTCCCATGTGTCCTATCGCTGGATCCCAGGGAGAAGAGACCAGCACCTCCCTCTCCCTTTCCCCTCCTCAGGAAGCTGGAGAGAGCACTGAGGTCGCCCCTCAGCCTCCTTTTCTCCAGACTAGACAAACTCAGAGTCCTTAGCCGCTCCTCATAGGACACGCCTTCCAGCCCTTTCACCAGCTTTGTTGCCCTCCTCTGGATCAATTGTAGGGCCCAGAACTGCACACAGTATTCAAGGTGAGGCTGCACCAGTGCTAAATACAGAGGGATAATCACCTCTTTTGACCAGCTGGTCATGCTGCATTTGATGCATCCGAGGATGCAGTTTGCCCTCTTGGCTGCCAGGGCACACTGCTGACTTATATTGAGCTTGCTGTTGACCAGCACCCCCAGATCTCTTTCTGCAGGGCTGCCCTCCAGCCACTCCTCTCCCAATTTATACTTGTGCCCGACATTGCTCCGTCCCACATGCAGAATCCGACATTTCGACTTGTTAAATTTCATCCCATTAATCATAGCCCAATGCTCCAATCTATCTAGATCCCTGTGCCAGGCCTCTTGTCCCTTGAGAGAGTCAACAGCACCTCCCAGTTTGGTATCAGCAAACTTGCTAATGGTGCATTCAACTCCAGGATCCAGACCATTGATAAATATATTGAATAGGACTGGCCCTAGAATTGAACCCTGAGGAACACTGCTGGTGACCGGTCGCCAGCCAGATGTAGCCCCATTATTGACAGTCTGCATAGACTGGTATGGAATTTCTGTGTGTGCATTTGTTTTTATTTAACTAATGACTTGTTTCTTCATATGCAATTGATACCCAAAATGTTCGCATGATCTGGAGTTGCAAAACTGATAAAAACAAATAGTTAATCTATCTTTCTCAGCTGCCCATTTTTATACAGATTTCTCATTAAACCTTGGCTTCTCTGTGTTCTTAGAAGAAGAACTGTCAGACTCTGCTTAGACTGAATGAAGAGTTGCAGAATAGGTAGTGGCCTTAGCTACGTTCACAGGCTCTGGTTGCCATCTTGTGTCTCCATCCAGTTGCCTGGAGACAATTACATTACAATTACATTACTCTTTCTGAGCAGGTCTTCAGACTGCCTTGAAGTAAAAAAATGGGAAATGCTAATCAATTTAAACCTACTGGACTATTTGAGCTTAAGGATGAGCTGTCAGACACAACTCAGTTATGCATGAGTACAGACAGGTTGCTCTGCTTCTGTGTTGCATGGGGGCATCTTCATCCCCATAGTATAGCTCAGCTGCTTAATGGTTTTATGCTAGAAAAGATCTTTTACTCTCAGACTTGTCTCTCCCCAATTTGTGGTTTTTTTGGCCTATGAAATCACACTAATCTATAGGACTTTTCATTAACTGAATAATAGCCTAAAAAGCTAATTTAAATCAAACCTCCCATCTTCTGTTAATCTCATTACTGTAATTACCGTTTGCATTTTATGCACACAAAATCAAGCACTGAAGCTCTGTGTAAAGTTGCATTCTACATACAGGTGAAGAATAGAGCACACGGAGCTCAGAGGTGGGGCAGAATATCCCTCCAGCCTCCCATTTCAGAAAAGATGAGAGCTGTTTGGATAATGGCTTAGTATGGCGCGTGATATGCTACAAGATGCCAACATTAGGAATTCTATTTAATGATCAACCTGTCTTCAACAGGAAAACATGTCAGTAATGAACATGTGACAATTTAGAGGAATTATTAAATAATTAAAGACTTAAGGTGGCCAGCTTAAAGATTGGACATACCTATTGTTTTTAGAACTGTTTTGTAAACTGTTGCATTAGCTTTGTAATCCATAAGAGGTTTATGTAATTAATTGAGAAAATGCTGAAAGACTTGGAGGAAATAAAGTTTATTTTTAAGATTTCAATGGAAGGAAAACCACAAATATCTAAATGAAAAAATGGAAGAAATAGCATGAGGGTGAAACAGCAGACTGTGTTCCTGGTTAACATGATAAAGACATTCTGTTTTTCTGGAAAGCTTCTGAAGTTCCAAAGAAAGTGAAAATAGTCAACTGAAAATAATGATCATGTGTTATTAATGGTAAATTGAAGGTGATAAAAAGAGGCATAACAGCTTTTCATGCTACAATATTTCGTGTTTTGTCTTTTTTGTTTTTTAATTATATTTTATGTTATGTAGAGTGCATCTTTTCCAAAATAGAGCAACAAATTATTCTATTTCTGTTGCTTATCATGTACATGCTTTCAGTCATCATGCTGACTTTTCAGCTCTTTCACAGAAGCAAGACTTATATTCATTAGTCTAAAACTATTTAAATACAATAAAGATCTTTCTTCTAAAAGAATTTGTTGTTACTTCAAAAGAAGTTCTTTCTCCCGAAGCTAGTTGCAGATTTCTCATCTACTTCAATACAAGGAGCTACCTGGTAGTTCCTTATGAACTCTGTATGTTCCTCTACGTGCAAATGTAATATTGATTCCTCCAAATAAGATGCCAAACCTTGGGAGTCTTGCAATTCCATGCATTCAAGAGAAAATCATGTACTTTTTCTGATTTATGCTTTGAGGATCCTGTTTCTGGTTTGTCTACTGGTATAGGGAAACTGGAGAAAGTAGTCTCCCACAGTAGATGGTCCATGTTAAATGGTGTGCATGATCTCTCACAGTGTATGTGTCTGAGTAGGTAAGATTTTTTTTACCAGTACATTTGGTTTTCTGGACTAATATATCATACTTCTGTTCAATGTTTCTGGGGAAAAAAAAAAATTAAAAAAACCCCCACAACTGCAAATTGACACTGTTACATGTTACTAAGAAATGGTTGTCGAAGCTTCATGGGACAGAGAATTGGGTTGTAAGCAAGAAGTGCCTGTTGCACATTGTTAAGCATCAACAAGTAACAACAGAAGTGCACTATTGTTAAGCATCTTATTCCTTAACTTTGTGCAGGTCAAATATTTGTATTAATGTGATAGAGACTGTTAAAGACATACCTTTACCTATTCTGACATATGCAAAGTGTGTATTCCTGTTGTTAATCCATATAGAATACTCATCTTGCTTTCGAGGTCACACTGTGCTGTTAGAACAGTCATGACATGTTCTAGTTCATGGATGTATCTGGTAATTAATTTTTAATTACTTTGGATTTTTCTTTCTTCGTAGGTTGATGATTGCAGTTGTGATGCTGAAATACTTTCCCTGCTCCTCAATGCCAAGCTAGCGGTGAAGTGCGTATCTACTGCCTTCTATCCTCGCCTTGTTGACCACTTACTGGCTAACCAGGGAGAAGGAGGCTGGGATGTAGAGGAAATAGCAACACAACTTAAAGAGGCAGGGTTCAACGCAGAGGCCGGGTCCCTCATGATGTCTTATCGAGGGACTCATCCTGCACTCAGGACTTTTACTACTGCCCTCCAGGCTATTCAGCATTGGATCTAAAAATGTTGGATTTGTGTATTTGTCTACCTTTTTGCTGAAGATCTTACATAAAAGGGAGAAACCATCGTTCTAGTGAAGTAACAAAGTTAGTTATTACCTACATGTTGTAGAAAATACAAACAGCACACCTACAATGAATTCGCATATACTTCTAATCGTTTAAAAAAATTACTGGTGCGGACCGTATCATTCTGTTATATGACTAACAAAACATTGAATCTAATAATCCTTTTCAGATCAGAGAAAAGTAAATGATTACACTCTGTGACATATAAATGAAACGTTAGTAAGCTGACAGGTTATATACAATTTGTGTTAATTTCTGTAAGTAATTTACTGTTGTCATAATGTAAAACTAATGTAAAAATATAATTATAAAGATATATGGAGGAAAAAAAAATTCACAATGAGGAGTAATTTCTGAGAATTTCAAAACCTTAAAATTTGGTTTTGTGCAATGTTGTTACCACAGCTTTTGTTTGCAGTAAGTAAAATATTTTGCATTTATTGTAATCTCTTTTTTCCTCCTTTTAAAGAGATAAGAAAAATATTTTCTTTCTTCAGCCACTTTTTCTGAAATTCCTGTCTCTCCTCAATGATTTTTATTCATAAGGACAAGCTGAACTTCTCTGTGCTTGCAGACAGTTCTAGTCTTTGAGGTATTTTTCTCTGCAATTTGGGAAGCCCCATCTCAAATCCTAAACATTTATTGATACCTTTTGTGAATGCACTTTCAAAGTATTTTACTTATATTTTTCCTGAGTTCTGAAAAATTAAATAGGTGTGTTTATTTCCAAATGCCTTCTGTCTTACTAAGGCAAAGTATTTCTGATTGTTTTCTGAGGTTTCTTAACAAGGGGACTGTCTGTTTATTACACTGCATTACCAGAAGGTTTTGATGTTTCTATGTGTTTATAGGAATTTGTTGTTAAAATTAATCTGTAAATCTTTTGCCTAATCTTGTGTTCAGATCTAATTTTGATTAAATAATGTGCAGAAACAGTACATATGATAGGATCATAGGATAATACAGGTCTGAAGCGATCTGTAGAGTAATGTAGTCCAACCTCCTCCTCAAGGCAGAGTTCCTTTAATGTTGGAGCAGGTTTCTCAGGGCTGTATTCAGTTGGGTCTTGAAAACCTCGAAGGATGGATGTCCCACTGCTTGGCTGTCCCCATGTTGAAAAGCTTTTTATGTATATCCTCTTGTTTGGGCCTGTCTCATTGCAGCTTCTGCCAGTTGTCTGTCATCCTCCCACCATGCATGCTGTGAAGAGGCTGGCTCCATCGTCTTGATAACCTTCTTGTGGGTATTGGGTCCCCCATAGCTTTCTCTCCTCAAAAGAAACAAAACCCAAAAGAAGAAGAGGGAAAAAAAAACCTAGTGCAGTGACTGCAGTTCATAGGTGATTTAGCTGGCTGTACCATTCCTACAGTACAGACACTGGTAATGGATTCCATTAATACTGGTAATATTCAGTCAAAATTTGGCAACAGAGGGATCCAGTTCAGGTGCAGTTGCTTGGTAATAACACTCTTATCTGAGCTTTCTGCTATTTGGGATACCCAGCCCCTTCATTATGTAATGTAGTAGCAAGCTGACTGTTATTGAGACAGTAGTTTCTAAAATCCCTCTTTTTCCTAAATGTCAGCTTAAATCATAAAGAAGGAAGAAGAGTGGGTTAAGAGCTTGATGTAGCTATTTCATTACAAATTTGTATTACTGAGTTGTTTCCTAGGCTTCAGGATTTAGAAATGGGTGATGACATTTGTGGAACCGAAACTGACTCTTACTAGCATCGTCTTTGACTTGGGATCTGCTTTGTTTTATCAGCTTTTACTGACTGTGAAAATTGTTCAGATGTTAGCCTTCCCACCTTACATAGGATTCTTAACAAGAGTTTTAACAATGCTTTAGTTCTTCAGATTGTTATTTTGTTTTTTGTACTTGTTGGTCCCAGCTATCCTTCAGTGTTTTGAGGAAGGTTATCTCATCCATGTATCTGGTAAACATATCAAATTTATATCATTCAGGTATATTGCCTTAATTCTGTTCTCTTATGCTAGCGGTCGCAAGAGCCCCAGACTAGTAAAGCAAAGTATATTGCAATTGCAGACAAAAGAAAGGAAAAACTTAAGAAAGGTAATGTAACTGGAAATGAGTAGATGCAGGCAAACCAGAAGGCATACCTCCAGCAAGAATTGGATTGTTCTGTAGAAGATATTTCTGTACTTCACGATGGAGCTTTTTGGTCTGTCTGCATGTTTTCTTCTCGAGTCAGTAAGTTCAGTGCTAGATTTTCTGACCATTCTCATTCAGGATCATGAAAAGTTTGTGTTGAGTGTCACTTTAGAGCTGAGCTGTAGATAAAGCTCTAATGAGCGTTACTGATCTTCTGTCCGTTTTCTGTTTTGCTGGCATTACAAGTTCATGATAAATGTTTTCCTTGCAGCCAGGGCTAATCCTGATTTATTCTTTATTCAAAATTTTATCTATAAGGAACAGTTTTAGTATATACATCCAAAATGATCAGCCTATATTAATGTATGTTCCAAATAAAATAAAGTTTAAGGGTGAAAAAAAAGTGAAAGAGGCGGCACATAACAAGGATATGTTGCCAGCCTTTTAGTATCTTCTATATGGTAGAACATTTGAGGCTCTGGAAGTGACCAAGATACATTAGCAAATGTTACTGTGTTGGTTTTGGGATTTTGGGGGGTTTGTTTTTCTTTTGTTTTGTTTTGGTTTTTTTTAAGGTTAAGAAACTTACCTTGGTATTATTAATAGCACTTAAAAAAAACAAATCACAAAAGAGCTGAACTGGCACTTGATTTGCAATTGGGATCTGTTCAGAATACAGCATGAGCTGATGTTTTTTTACTCAAAACAAGTCCATGCTTTGGAGATGCTTGTGCTCTCAAAAGTAGGTGAATAAAGAATTCAGTTGTGTCTCCAGGAGCAACACTTCCTAGTGCAATTAATCCTCTTTTGCCTGAAAAACATTGATAGTATTTGCATCTTTGAGGAGCTTTTTGCTGCCTGGTAGATGTACCAAAGCAGCAAAATATATCACCTTTCTTTTGGATAAGTAGAACCAGAGATTAGGGAAGAAAGATCATCACTCACAATTTCTTTTTCTGCTGGAAATAGTAAGTGAAGGCAGTACGTCATTGCAACAGATGCAGAGCAGACACTTTGGTATTTATAAACAAAACAGTGCAATTCAACGAGTGGAGAGGCTACATATGATTCGGATATTTTGCTTGTATGATGATTCTTTCTGTGATTTATTGTTTTTGGCATTCTCCACTGTGAAAATACGCTTTGAGAGGATGGCCATACAAAATGGATACCTTCATCATATGGGTAAGAATTCCGACACTTGCAAAAACACAATCATTTTTCAAGTTTGTTTTATTTACCTCTACTTTCCCTTCAAAATGCAGCAAACTGGGTAATTATTCTGTGCAAGATTTCACAAAGCAGTATGCAGACAGTCACTGTGCCTCAGTTACCCACAAAACAGGGGGTGCTAGGTGAAACCATGGGCCATTTGCTCCCAAGAATGATGATGGGTTGCCACCCAGCCAGCTCTTCTCCCAAAGAGTGTGTTGCTTATGCAGAAGCACAGGATGACAGCGAATCCTGTAGGAACTGAAGATTTTACCGGCTTTCATCTGTCAGCAGCTGAGTACCGAACAAGAAAGGTCTAGCTGGAGAGTACATCAAGGGCAGGGCAGCATCAAAACAGCCACAGCAATTGAAGTAAGTGAAAAAGGGGGCCAAGGCAAGGATTTTACTAGGGTTACATTTCACTGCAAAACACACAGCAAGTAACGTCTAACGCCTTGCTGGTTTATCGTACTGATTGATGATAAGACTGAGAGACTCTGAAGGAAGGGAATGAACACAAAACTAGAAGTGTTCCACCTTCAAAATGGATTTATTATTGTAGCATTGCCCACCATGTCTGCCACATTTCCCACTTAAAAATTTCCAGGTTCCTAAATTCTGGTATTTTTAAAAAGAGTGCAAGAGAGTACACATTTTCAGTAAAGCCCTGAGACTTGTGTCACTTCCAAGGTTGTATGGCTTGATCTGTATGCCCAACTTGCCTTGTATCAAATGTTGCAGACACACCAAAGATTCATCTAGTGGCATAAAAATGTTTTTCAATTTGACTGTTTAACTGTTACTGAGCACTTGAGGTAGTGTTTGCATAAGATTATTTGGTTTGAGCTCTCTTTCCACATTGGTAGCAGTCATCTGAGATTACGTTATTTTACATGTTTTTTACGGTTTATTTTAAGATTTTTTTTTTCATGTACCTCATTGTAGCTGCAGATTGAAGTCCATTTACCAGTTGATCACCCAGACAGTACATTTCATGAAAACTTTCAACAGTTTTTCATCCAGCCCTCATTCTTACTCAAAAGCTTGTCTTCATCAGCACTGTTTGACACCCCTACTATTGGTCCCCTTTTGTAGACAGAGAAAATAGTGAACTTGAGTCTCTAGCAACTGCCTGCACTTGAAAACAGCTAGCTCATTTTGCTGAAGATGAGGCACATATGTAAAAGCAGAAGAGTAGATAAAGGTCCTACAGATGGTCAGAAATGGACTCACTCTTTTAGCTTGGTTAAATCATCTGCTGACATGGTTCCGTTCTCCAGAAGAGCTCAGTGCCTTAAACTTTGGTGTTTGTCCTCAGCGATGCTCTGTTGCACTAGATGGAGATGGAGTACTGAGTTTCCAGAGTGAATGAGCATCCCATCATAGAGCAGGAATACTTTTAGCAACACAGGTACAGAGCCTCATCTGTCCTTAGTGCTTAGGAGAGTTGGTTTTTAACTCCAACCGGTATCTTCAGTAAGTAATTATTACAGCAAAGACTTCATAGAAAAAAAAAAATCCCTCTCTCAACCTCTCTGACTACTGTGACATTCAGAAACATGAAGATCTTATTTACTTTGATTTCTTCTTAGAGTGATAAATTTAATCTGTCATTTTTCTTCACTTGCTTTGGGATTGGCTAACAAAGGGGATGGCTCGGTGCTTGTGCTAATGACTATGCTATTTGAACAAAGCGGGGTAT